CAGAGGCACCGCCCGGCACACAAACACCAGAGATGGGGGAAGGGGATGGTGAGGGGGAGATCCGGAAGTGGCTTTGGGGCATTCTCTTGAAAATCCAAGGGCAGCTTTGGTGCTCAGAGATTCAAACAGAAAACGATACAAAACCAACCCATAAATATATATATATTATATATGTGTGTTATATATATATAAAATTGCAAAAGAAAAGCCCAAGAAACGAATCACCAATCTGCACATCAGTGGCTCAAAAAGTGTTAGCGCAGAGAAAGGCAAACCCATCCGTGGAGCTGCTGCGTGTGACCGGGGCTGGCATTTCCATAGTAGGAAGGGCATGGACATGGAACCCTATTGGAACCGTCACAACACGAGGACAAGTTAACACACAGAATGTATGTACACGGGAGACGATTGTCAGACACAGACATTTCACCAAAACCATCCACAGCTTTAGAGAACACCAGACCATCCACAGCTTTAGAGAACACCAAACCATCCACAGCTTTAGAGAACACCAGACCATCCACAGCTTCAGAGAACACCGCACCCTCAACACCTTCCCCACGCCCCAGCCAGAACACCAAACCATCCACAGCTTTAGAGAACACCAGACCATCCACAGCTTTAGAGAACACCAAACCATCCACAGCTTCAGAGAACACCAGACCATCCACAGCTTTAGAGAACACCAAACCATCCACAGCTTCAGAGAACACCAGACCATCCACAGCTTCAGAGAACACCGGACCATCCACAGCTTTAGAGAACACCAAACCATCCACAGCTTTAGAGAACACCAGACCATCCACAGCTTCAGCGTGCACCGCACTCTCTATCCAGACCCCACGCCCCAGCCAGGCCAGCCCAGACTCTCCCTGTCCCTTCTCCCGGGGGAGGGTGACCACTACGCCCACAGATCCGGGGAATTTAATGGAACCGATCACCGAGATCAAACAATCGCTCACAAAGCAGGCCCAAGAGGCATAAAGTGGAGTTGAAATGTGGGGGTGGGGTCCCCAAAATATATTTCCCTTTTTGTAAGGGCTTTGATGTATTTAAATGTGGCCCCTCCGTCCATGGTCCAACTGTGGTCCTCCTTCTGATCCACTTTGAAAGGGAAGACGTGGCCTTTGAGCTCCTAAACGTTATACAAGGTGATTTGCTGGAGGGGAGAATGGTTTAGGGTTCTTCTATTGTTACTCCCCACCACCACCACCTAAGCCCCCTCGACATTTTCTTTACAGACTCAGAGACAAGGGACTGGCACAGGACAGCTGGCCTCATCCTGCCGCCGGGGAAACGTGTGAGCCAGGAGCCAGGAGCCACTACACGGGGACTTTCTCACACCAAGGCTCTGGCTCTGGCTGCCCCTTATTCCCTCCCTGTGTCAGTAACAGTGACCATTTCTCCTTCATCTTCAGGTCCCAATTTTTCAAAGCCTTGACCCAACTTTTGGAAGCGTCTAGATGGAAAATGGCACCAATCATCATTTTGACAAAACCTGATACCACTTAAGTATGAATCAATAAGAACCATTACCTCCGTATTTTTTTTCCAGCTGGGGGTTCTTTCTAACTGTGCCTAAAAAGAGAAGCCTGGCTCCATGACAATGATGAGTGGAGCTTTCTCCACTGAAGAATGGCTCCCCACCCCATGCTGGCTCCTGGCTGAGGGTGGCTTCTCACTGTGAGAGGCTCAAGAGGGTTGGGTGTGCCTTGGTGACAGGGCTCTACATGTGGGCTCTTATTTCTGGCGAAATATATATATCTCCCAGCCAAGTGGGTGTAGGTTGGTTAACAGGACATTTGGATATAAATACTCTAAAGTGTATGCTTTTTGTATTGTAGCGTGAGTGGACCCGTGCAGAGAGATAACCAAAGAGCACATTTTATTAGAGTCAGTTCAAGGCCTCTGACTTACTCTCACATTACATTATCCCTTCCGGGGTAGATGGGGGACACTGGCAGTAAGGTTTTGAGTTGTGAGGTGCCCTGTTCCTTTTTGTGGGTGTGCAAAGGCATGGCTTTATCTCCTCCCTCATTTCTTCTCAGACTCTTTGAGTGCTGTTGTCTTAGGCCAGCAACCCCTTTCACAGGGGTCGCCTAAGACCATCCTGCATATCAGATATTTACATTATGATTCATAGCAGTAGCAACATTACAGTTATGAAGTAGCAACGAAAATAATTTTATGGTTGGGTCACAGGACTGTATTTAAAGGGCCAGAAGGTTGAGAACCACTGTCTTAGACAATTTGCTTGGGCTCTATTTCCAAAATCGGCTGCAGCTGTGCCAGCCAGCTCACAGGCTTCTGCTGGCCCGCATGAAAGAAACAGGAGCTATGCATTTTCTCACTTGTCCAATAGTCAGAAACTGAACGTTCTCGGCCTGGAACTAGAACATAAACGTCACACTTGTGCAAAAGATGGCAGACGTGTGGGCTATGTGTCCACCTATCCCTATGCATTATCTGCCGGGAAAAGCCCACACTTCTTTTTCATCTTCCAGACTTTCTGAAGTGAATTGTGCTCTTAGGCAAATGGTTCTTTCCAATCCATGTAATCAGAGAAGTGGCTTTCTAGCAGTTTCCCCTGTGCTGACAAAAGTGGTAGCCATCTGTTATGACACTGACAGATGACAGCTGAGTGACTATATTGCCATATTCAGGAATGAGTGGCCCAGTATTAGACACAGGAAGCAGGCTTCCAGGCCCAGTATATACGCACATCAGTGGTATAAGGACAATCTTTCCAAGGGAGTTCATCCAAACACACCCAGTCCTTCAAAAGTAACATCTCCGTTTGCAGAGGAACCCTGTTTTTGTACAGAGGGGTCGTGGAAGGTTGCTCTTATCTGTGTGTAACCTGGCCGAAGTAGGACAGTTCCTTGGGCCACCTGCAGGCCAAGGGGCTCCTATGGGGCCCAGATCTGGGCTGTGGCTATACCTTGGCTGCATATTTTGCAGTTTGAAGAAAGGTCACAGGGTGTGGATGGTTCTCCCACAGCACTGCTGGGTGCCAGCCACCGAGCACGGAGTGTGGCTGGGACTACGCTTATCTCTCTGTATCACCCCTCCCTCTGCCTCCCTCCCACTCTTGCCCATCTTTCCGTGGAAATAGCCTCAAACCCTCTCCACTTCCAATCTCAGCTGGCCACAGCACAGCAGACTGGTTCCATCATCTCATTCCTTTTCTACGGCCTATCCCAGCTTGAAATGAACTATTGCCTATCGATTCTGAGCTCTCTGTACATACATTTTCTCCAGATTCTGGTCCAAGATTTCAGCCAGCTTTTAACTAGAGCCAAAGACAACATCCCCACCTGTCACCCTCTGGTTCTGTTTGGACTGAACATCTGCTTCAACAGCATCCAGTGCACAGCCTCAGGCCTGGAGCTAAGCACGCCACATCGATACGGACAAGGGAAGAGCAACTCTACACAAGCCAAAATAGAACCGAAACCAAGCTACTTATTTGAATACTAGAGGCCTGGTGCACAGAATTTGTGCATGGGTATGGTCCCTAGGCCTGGTCAGCGATCAGGGCTGATCTGTGGGGTGACCGGAGGGGCAATTGGGGAGCCCCCACTGGCACCCGCCTTGGCCGGCCTAGCACCACTTGCTCAACAGCCCCACACCCCGCCGCTGCTGCCGGTTGCCTCTCTCTGTGGGAGGCGACCAGCCAGGCGATGGGGGTGGGAGGGCAGTGCCAACCCGCTTGCCGGCCAGCCCCACCCCCCAATTGCCCTGCCGCTCTGCCGGTTGCCTCCCTCTGCAGGGCAACCAGTGGGATGATGGGGGGACCCCCACTCTGGCACCCACCTTGGCTGGCCTGGGGCCTGTGGGCTGGGGGTAGCTCCTGCCTTGAGCGTCTGCCCCCTGGTGGTCAGTGTGCCTCATAGTGACTGGTCGTTCCACTGGTCATTCTTCAGTCGATTTGACATATTAGGCTTTTATTATATAGGATTTCCCTCTTTTTGTCAAAAATCTTTCTTAAGATGCCTTATCCAAATCCTTTGATGGAAATGAATTCTGTGCTGGAAGCTCACTTTTTGCTCTCAGGGAAAATGTAGTTTGAGGCAGGTCACCTAACATGGTTTAGTAGTGACGTTCAGAAAGGCTTCCTTACAAGAAGATTGTCCATGCCTCCAGCCTACTCCTCTTAAGTCCATTCTCCACTCAGCCACCAAAGGTTTCCTAAAACCCGGGGCTGATCATGACTCTACCCTGATTAGAAGTCCTGAGTGGCTCCAAACCCCTTACATGATAGAGTCTGGTTCCTCCATACTTTCGACAAGTTTATGATTCGGTCCTGCCCACCTGTGAAACGAACACCCCATCTCTGCCTCCCACCTTACACCTAGTGCTCAGTGCACACATCATGGAGTCTTTTGCTTCTGGGCCTTTACACGTGCTCTTCCCTCATCCTGGAATGGCCTGCCTAACCTTTTGTCCTCCTAGGAAATTCCTCTTTTTTTTTGAAAATCTAACTCAACTATTATTCCTTTCAGGAAGGTTTCTCTGGTCCAGAGGACAATAAACCATTGCTTCCTAATGCCACCTCTGCACCCTTGCCTGTTGGTAACTTGTCTATGTGCCTTCTTTACTTATGAGGTGCCCTCAGGCCTGGCCCATAACCCAAGCCCTTACATGTGTTTTTTTAATGTACAAGGAATGGACAAATGGATAAATATGAGGTGGACTCCTGGCATAAAGTCCAAGGACAATGCCCAAATTCCAACAAGCTCTGGCATAGTCATCTGAATGAGGCCTCCCTGTTGTAAAGGGAATAAAGAGAATTTGTTGAATGCAGAGTCAATCAACATAGCTCTAAGCTACAACCACTCACACATAAAAAGCTGCATCAATGGTTGTGTCCACTCCACCCTTTTCTTAACATTGCTTGCCACTTATTATTCTAGTCACAATGATTGTTTTCTTTTAACGTCAGCATAATGCCTGACATTTAGTGGGTGCTTAACAAATATTGTGAAGGGACCAATGAATGAATGTGAAGTCTACTTTTATAAAGAAGGCATCAAAGGATTGGCTTTTAAAGGCATTTCCTATATCACAGACTTTTCTGAGGCATCAGTGCCCCTGATCATTGGGTTGTCCATCACAAGACCCAATCAGAAAGCAGAAAGGGGGAGGGGTACATGGGGGCTGGGGTAGCAGTTGGGAATCTGCATTGGAGAGACACAGCATTGGGTTTTCCTTAGTCTTATCAGTTTTCTTTTTTCTCAAGAAATAACCCAACTATGAATGGCATTTCCTGCCCAACCAGAAGTCCCCTGCATCTCCTTTGTCAGAGGTCCACACTGGCCTGGCCACAGTCCACGTTAACCAGGAACTTAACGTGCACAGATGAGGGAGAACACGGGTAATTTCCTGTCTTCATTTCCAGTACTGCATTATACAATGGAGACCAGTCACAAAAATGGGGCCTGGACTAAAACCACGCCCCCTCCCCCGCCCCGGGGATTAGAGATTTTTTGATCACCACGGCTATTAAGAGCAAAGGCTCTGGACTCAGGCTGACTTGGATTTAGGTCCAGGTTCTGAATCTTTCTAGCCAAGCCACCTGGACCATGTCAATTTTCCTTTTGGGGGCTCAGTTTCCTTTCCCATAAAATGGGACTAATCTTACCCATATTATGTGAGGGTTAAAGGATGTAATGTATATAAAGCCTACACAGTGTCTCTATATACAGTAAGTGCTCAAACATGGAAAACTATGATTAAGAACTTTCAAAAATACTTTTACAATAATCAGGACAAAGAGGGAAAATATCCTTTGAAGACACTGTGCTTTAAAGAGAATGGATTGTCTATTTTTTTTTAGGAGCTAACACTGCTCATTAATTAATACCCCATGGAAGAATATGAAAAGACAGTGTTAGCATTTAAAACAATAGCTGTGGCCATTACTAGGCCCCAGGATGGACATAGTGACAGGGCCAAGGACACCTAAGCCTCTCTGATTAATCCTGAAAGGTTCACCACCAGAGTGACTGAGTTGGAATCCAAAGGGACCAAGGCCAAGGTGCCTAGGGTAAGATGCCAGTTCTAGTCCATGAACCAGTGCTTCTGGGTTTGAGGGAAAGTCAGGGGACCCCTCACTGCCAGGCAGAGTGAGGTGGGTAGAGCTGCATATGTCATGCAAAGCTAGAAAGGGATAGTATTGTTTATCATCCTCATATAATCCAAAGCCAACCGAGGACCTACCTTCCCCCAAATGTCTGCCCTGAGCATGAGACAACTGTTTTCTAAGCTAAATTTGGTTTTACTGTGGAAGCTCCTGAGATACACGATTTGAATGGGTCAAGCTCCTGGCATCTTACACTGATTAATTATCTCCCATTCCATGGACAGCTTGGCTTGCCCTGTGTCTGCCAACTTTGACAACTCTTCCATCCATAATTCAGGAGGTTCCATGAAGAAAGCTCAAGGTTAGTGGTTGGGGAAGCACAAGCTAAGCCATCAGTCCTTGGGAACAAAGATTAACTTCTGGTGGAGGGGACAGGTCAATTTGCCTGGTTACTGTGAGCAGCAAGGCAGGGACCCTATGAAAAAGAGGAGAGAGATTTCTAAACATAGTGATAGCTCCGTCAGTAGGAGATTGGGTTCCCATGAGGAAAAGGACCTTGTTCAGGGGAAGCCTTGACCTGATTTTTAGTCTGAGCCTGTGAGAGCTTGTGGCCCACTCTTGCCCTCTTGCCCGAGGTTCAGCTCAGTGGACAGCACCCTCACAAAGGCAGCCCACAACTAGGCAGTGTTGGGTAGTAGAAAGAGCACTGGACTGGAAGCCAGGAGACCTGAATTCTAGTGCAGGCTCTGCCACTAACTAGCTGTGTGACCTTGGAAAGTCACCTGATTCTCTGGGGCGATTGTAAATGAGGGGTTGGTCGGGCGATCTCTATGTTCCCCATCAGCGTGTGGTCCAGGGTCCTACTCTATCCCTCCTTGGCCCTGTGCTTCCAGGGGCGGAGATGGGAAGAAGGGAAGGTGGGAGAGAGGATGCAGATGGGAGCCCCAGGGTGCTATGAATCAGGACTCCACCTTCTCCTTCTTTTTGCTCTTTTTCAGGAAGGATGGGGTTCGGAATTTCTTTTTCTTCTTTGAGGGAGATTTGGAAGGTGAGCCCTCTGGGGACATGGGGCCGCTGGTGACCGACTCGGTTTTGTCCTTAGAGGTGTCAACTTCCGTATCGGCATTGGTGGTCATCTGGCTCAAGCCTTTGCTGAGAATTTCCTCTGCGGTCTGCTCGTCCTCCCTCCCGTTGACCACCACCCCTTCTGGCTGCTTTGTTTCAGGCTCTGTGGTGGCTTTGCTTGTTTCTGTCTCCTTAGCACCTTCTGGAAAAAGATCAAAAGACATGGCCCATAAGATGTCACTCAGGTGAGAGCTTCCACCTGGGGTTACCAGAACTTCTTCTAGGCAATTCTACACAGTTAAGTCCAGAGCAGTGAAAGAGCAGGCTGATGTTGTAGGAGCAGAGGATAGGCAGGGCTCTCATTCAAACCTGCTCCCTTTCCACACGGCCTGGCCTGAGAACAAGCCCTTCGCAGGTCAGTGACTCTGGGCTCTTGTTGACAGATGCAAACAGGTAATGGTGTCCAAATATGGCCCAGCTAGGGGTCTTTCTAGGCACAGACAGAGGAAACAGACACAGGCAAGGACAGAGGCTGTAGGAGCGGGGCGAGCAGTGTCCTGTACAACTCAGTGGAGACATCTAAGAACTGTAACTGGTGCAGTTTCACCAGTAAATATATGGAAATTATATTTTTTCATACCATTTTATTTCCTGCATGAGGGAGGAACTTTTAGAAGAATGGAGAGTTGCTTTCTCTGTAGGCAGAGAGGGGAAGGCAGAAGGAGGATGGAATTCCTGAGTGACATGAACCCTGTGTTTCTAAGATAAGGATTGACCAAAAGGGGAAGAAGCTTGGTTGGCCCAGGCTAGAAGCCATTGCCCCAGTTCTTTAACCTTCCTGGAGGGAGCCTGTTAGGATTGGCACCATCTTCTGGGCCAGAACTGCCCAGACCCCATAAACAAAACCCTCCTGTGGCGCTTTCTCCACCCTCCCACTCTCACTCCACTCTGCTTCCACTGGGGCTCTGAAATACCTCAATGGGGAGGCAGGAGGGGAAATTACAAAACCATGGGGAGGGAAGTAGAGAATGTAAGAGTCAAGAGCATTGGGGAACTCCGTGACTGAAAGTGGGCTGGGCAGTAGGAATGGGAGCTGATGGCCAAGGCCTTTGCTCCTAAAAGAGAGGCAGTTCTCAGAAGTTACCTGGCAGCAAACCAGCAGACACAACCTTCTCCCCACCCACTTTCCTCACTTCACCTGCTATTCGGCCTTATCAATCTCTGGTCCCTTGACCCCTCTCTGTCACCCCGACCTTGTCTCCTTCTGTCTATAAGGACCTTCTCTCTCTCCTGTGTCCCCAACCATCACCCCATACAATGAATCAACCTGAGTGTTATCTTTTCCTTCAAGTCTTTCCTGATCCCTCCCTACTTCCAATAGAATTGATCACTTTCTCTTTCTTCCCCCACTATACAAACTTCCACCATAGACACTGTAAAACAACCACACTTCCTTTTTTTATGCTTATCTCCCCCTCAAAACTGAAATAAATTAGGGCAAGGCTGTGTCTAAATTATCTATGTAACTAGCTCATAGAAGGTACTCAGAAAATGTGGAACCCATGAATGGTCAAATGCATGAGCTAACAAATGAATGTGTGAATGGTTTTATTCTAACCAAGCCAACACTGTACCTCATCTTCTTTCTTGTCTGCCCCAGCCTGAGCCTTCTAAGCTGATCTGGACCAAGCCATGTACACAAACAGCAGCCCTGAGTGCTGGCCTTTGTCTCCTGCACCTAGTCCCCTGCCCCTCCTCCTCCTCCTGGGCTCATGTCCTCCCATGGTTCTGCAACTTCAATCCAGTTTCTTGCTATAGTCCACTCTTTTGGATGACCCATTAGGACATGTTTCTCAAGCCAGACCCTCTCAGATAACTTTGATACTTGCCTTCTAGCTCCATGATCATAACTGTGGATAAGAGGGACACCCATTTTCTGTCCACGTGTGCTTTCCTTCCCTGGTGGATGGGTATCCTCGCCCCAACAGTGCCCTTCACCCATGCCCTTCACCCTTACCCACCTTACTGTCAACCTCATCTATAGCCTCAGCCCCTGGTCTGTGTCTTGGGTTAGGAGGGTGGCACTCAAACTTCTCACTATCCAGAAAATGAGGTCACACCAAGTGCACCCATCAGGATCTCAGAGCTCCCACACTATCAATTGTTTAGGGGAGGAACAGTAAATGAAAGGGGGGCTAGTGGAGGCACAGTGGGCCTTAGACTCCAAAATGAGGTCCCCAGTCTCTTGGCGACAAGGGACAGAGACCATTGGAGAGTTTGGGTGGCCAAGAGAAGGTGCAACAGGTCAGGGCTCCAGAAATAAGCACTTATTAGGCTCCATTAGGAAAGTATCAAAGACCAGCTCTGAGAGCCTAGACTCCGCCTCTGTTAAGATCTCCAAAGAGTTAAGGCTGGAACTACACAGAGCTCTCAATTGGTCTTCAGTGAATTGAGGACCAGGCTGGGAAGAGCCCCAAGAAGGAGGGACAGATAGGAGCTTGTCTTCTAAGATTCCCTAACAACAATCACTGGCTTTCTCTCTTGGGTGAGACACTTAGAGCTCTGGGTGTAGGGGACAGATGTGAGGGTGGGTGGAGTGCAGCAGAGGCTGAAAACTGAAGGCTCTTTCCAAGGATGGTGTCCCCAGGAAGCAGGGGATGGGAAAGGGGATCCAGAGAGTGGGTAATTTGGAACAAGACTCAACTTGGAAGCCAAAGTCCACATCCAGACCCCTGTGAATGCAGAGACAAAGGGCTGGAAAGCTGGCAGAGGATGGAGGAGGGGAAGAAGTGCTTCTATAGGGAGGTCCTGAGCGTGTTTGGACATTCCATCTCTCATTCCATTTCTCACCATCCTTCAGCTTCCAACTACTCATTGTCTCTTGATCTTCCTGTGTCTTCCAGGATGTTCACTTCCCCAGCTTTCTAACCACAACCCCTGGATAGCCCACTCTACTCCTGTCTGCCCGTCAAGTATACATCGTCCCAAGGTCTGGCTCAAGCCCCTCTTGACATTTGACAAGGATCTTGCCCTCCTCTAAACCTACTGCCAATATATTCATTCTACACTTGCATGTCATTTATTTTTTTTTAAGAGCCCACACTTGGGTGTGGTCTCCTCCCACACTAAATCGGGGCTGGCCCTGTAGCTTGCCATAACCAACAGAATGCAGAGAAAGTGCCACTGAATCAGCCTCACGCTGAAGACTTGAAAAAGCCTAGCAGCATCTACTTTTATAAGTTGGGGAGCCCAGAGCCAACATGTATAAATTCTGGCTACCCTGATGGAAACACATATGGCCTACAACCACATGGAGAGAGGCAGAGAGTAGGTATGCATGCCCTGAGGGATGCTGAAGACAGAAGTCAAGCCAGGTGCTCCATGCACCCCTATAAGATAGTAGTCCCTAGAGTCATGCAGACTCTGGCCCATAACCCCAAAAGAGGCCATGGCTCCTTAGAGGTGCCCATGCATTCAGAACAGGGATATAGGTACTCGTGAGGGCCAAAAGCACTCTACTACATGGAATGGCCAGGAGCTGACCCCACTGCCCATTCACGGTGGGGGCTTGTTTTTTCTGGGTGGCATGCTCTGTGTAAGTATCGGTGTGTGTTTTTGCATGTGTGTCCTATGTATGTATATCCTTCAGGGGAGTCTTGTTTATGCATAGGACATATGAAATTGGTCATGACTTTTATAGCCAGGAAACCTCCCAAAGGCAGGGTTGTGAGTTGCAACAAAAAAAAAAAGAGGGAGGGGGAATAGATTTCTTTTGAAAAAGTCCTCCCTCCCCCATTGCAAGTGTGGAGTGGGTTAGTAGGCAGCCTCTCCATACTTACTACAGAGACAAGTATTCAGAATCGGAGGAAACTCCTTTGATGAAGGCACAAATGGGAAGAGAAAGGAAGACATTGTGGAGACAGGTTGACAACACCACGATGAGACACACCGAACACAAACAGTTGGGGGACATCCACTTGGGACTCTGGCCTCAAGCGGATGCGTTTCCTCTGGCAACCCTGGGCCTGCCCTTGGACAGCAATTGGCCTCTAGAGGGTGCTAAGGGGTTGGGGCTTTCTAGCAGCGTCCACCATGTGGACATTCTACCCAGGAGGGAGCAGATTCCAGCAGGTCACCAAGCTGCCACTCCCTGCATGGTGGTCTAGTCCTCTGTGGTGAGGACTCTGGGGGTTCAGGGAAGAGTGTTCATTCCCAGGTGTGATTCCGGGAGCTCATTAAAGACACTTTTATAACCTAGGTGGTATGGAGTGTAATGCTATTACTATCTGACTTATATATTATTAATCATAACCACAATTAAAACATAACCACAATTATTATCTGTCATATATATTATTAATCATAACCACTTTTACTCTTTCGAAGTATTTTTCATCTACAACTTCCCTTACATGTATAAGAACCTTAAAAAAGGGACAGAATAGCCCCATTTGACAGACAAGGAGACTGAGGCACAGAGATGACCTGATTTTCTAAAATGAGTAGTTGAATTATTGTTAGTTAGCATTGGAGTTGGGCCTAGAACTCATTTCTCTAAACTAGTAGCTACTGAAGTGGTTCTCAACCTGGGCTACACATTAGATTCACCGGGGGGGATCTTAAAACCCCAGGCTTCCCTCCTTCCCACCCCCAAACTATTTAACTCAGAACCTAGGGGTGGGACCCAGCAGGCATCAGGAATGTTAAAGTTCCCCAGAACCCCCATGATTCCCAAATGCAGTCAAGGTGGAAAATGACCTCATCAGCCTTACCTGGGAGCTCCTTGAAAATGCAGTCTCAGGGCCCACCCCAGTTTTGCTGCACCAGGATCTTCATTTTAACAAGATCCCAAGATGGTCCCGGGGCACGTGAAAGTCTGAGCCCTGGGATGGTGCACCTAGAAAGGCCCATCCGCCAACCCAGTCTGAGTTAGTAGGGAGAAGGCTCTGAGTCGGTCGTGAACTTATTCATCATTGCTTAAACTGGATGCTGTACGGTCACAGCTTGTGAATGGAACAAGCTTCAGTGAGTAACCCCTATTTCAGATTCCCTAGAAATGGCAGAGGGGAAAGCTTTTCTGGTTGGGGGCGGGCAACACCTGTTGAAAGGCAGGTGCCTGTAGTGTGCACGCTGGCCCCGCCTTCCACGCAGATCCCTTTCTCCGCCTGTGGATGCCCCTCCCTCCCTCCTGGCTGCTCAGCTGACTCACCGTCTAAAGATTTGGAGGGAGAGACCACGGGGCTCTTTGTCTCCGATTTCACTGGACTCTGTGCTGGGGAAGCAGGTGCAGACTTTACAGGTGAGCCAGGCTCCTCTGCAGTGGTTTCTTTCTCTCCTGAAAATACAGAAAACCACCTCAGGATAGGGGTCAAGCAGAGGAGAGATAGAGAGAGAGAGAGGAATTTTAAAAAATTGCTTTCTTCTACGTGGCCCTCATTTCTCTCGGCTGGAGTTAGCTGCTCTCCTAACCGGTTGTTATTTCTGCTACCTCCTGGGGGGCGGGGGGGGTCAGAGTCGTGTTCTGCTTCCTCCATCAAAGCACATCCACCTATTGAATAGGTTGCCCCTGGCATAGACAGTGAGCTACAGGAGAGTTCCCACCATGATTGGGTGGCATGCAGCTCATTTTTATTTACTGAATTTACAAGTTCAGTGCCAACAATGCCGAGGGATGGAAAGCACCATATGTTCCCACCTACTATTTCAGTTGGCACATTAGAACTCTGAGCAAGCCAGCGAGGTCCTTCTGGTGCCTGCTTGGCGCCTGGGAAGATGTCTGACGGTGGCGGGGGAGGGAGACGGTGGAGGAAGACCCTGCCCCGAGGGAATGAAAGCTGGTGGACAAAACCAAGGCTTGAGTTCTGGGTCTCAGACCCCAAGTGCCCCTGAAGCAAAGAGAAGGGACAGCTCAGTGTGGGGGGTGGGGAGAGGCAGAGCGGGTTCCTAGCAGGAGGGAGTTTGAGATGGAGCCTGAAGTGTAGATAACTTCGGATCAGGCTGGCCTGGAAGGGAAGCCATGCCAGGAAGGGACAAGGGCATGAATAAGGGCATACAAACGATCATGAGAATGAATATCTACCTGGGAGTCAACAGAGAGAGCTGGGCTAAACTAAAGATTCTGAAATAAAGGAGTGAGAGAAAGACATACAGAAGTCAGCGAGTGGAGAGTTTTGATTGCCTAAAACGTTTATGCCAGATCTGAAAGAGAATTAACTATTGCCACTGTTATAATGATCTATTATAGCCAACATTTATCTGGTGGTTACAGACCTACGCCATATCCACAGGCACTATTCTAAGCATTCTGCAAGGATTAACTCTCTCCACCCAGCTGAGAGGGTCGGATGAAATCCTAAAGACACCGTGCAACTGTTAGGCATTGAACAATGAGGGTCATTATTGTGATTAATAGTAACGCTAATAAGAATATTATTTGGTGATTGGGAAGGCAGATCAAGTTGAGGATATGAAGAGAAGAGAGAGAAACAAGTGAGGATTAAAAATGAAACCAGAGGCTAGATTGAGCCCGGGGCCCTTCAGGGGTGGGGGGAGGCCTGGGTTCCAGGGCTGCCCTTGCTCTGCTCCCTCTCTGGGCTTCCCCAAGCCCTCCCCTCCCCTCCACCTGGAAGAGCCTGAAGCACTGGATTCTGTACCTTCCAGTTCTAGTTTCTTCCTCTCCACCTCTTTCTTGTATTCCTCCAGCTCCTGGTCAGTGAGTTGGCTGAAGGGGTTGGGCACCGTCTCTTCCGACTCATCTTTGGTGTCCGCGTCGCCCTTGGCCATCAGCTGGCTGTCTGTAGACTGAAAGTTAACCACAGAGTGTGTGTTGCTCTCTGAACGCCGGGGCCGGGGCCCGGGCCCGAGCTTCCTTTCAGGCTCATGTGGCTGCCAGTGGCCTGGCTGGGACCGCGTGGCATGCAGCTCCTCGGAAACAGCACAGGACCTCAGGGCAGGACTTGTGCACTCCTCCCTACAGCTACCTCACCCCAGACCCGGATTCTTTGCCGCTGCCTAGATGAATGCAGGGGATCCACCCTCTCCCCAGGAAATAAAATCAAAGGATGCTCCCAGGCAGAAGGAAGACACACCTTTATTGCAATCGTGCCTGTGGACGCTTGCAAGCCATCCCTATGCAAGTACAGTCAGCGGCCCAAAGCCAGTCAGCCAAATCCAGCAAGCAAAGCTTGGCTCAACCCGCTTCATGCCAGCTGTTCCCACCATGCCCCCTCCCCCTCCCACCCCCGCAGAGCAGCACAAGCTGCAGCACACAGCAGTGGAACACACAGCGGCTTCGGCGTTCTCGGTCCAAAGGGTTGGTCCTGTTTTGCACACAGTCATAAATGACAAGGGGACCAAGGTCCTGAATCTCGTATCTCCAACGGCCTGTACTGAGGTCCCTGTGGGGACATTGGCAAAAGCACCGTTTCACCACCTCTGGGGAGCCCCTTGCTCTGGGGCGCTCACCAGCTAGGTAAGCTTGTGTAAGCTTCAGGGACCCTTTGACCCCCACTAGCTCAGGACAGGTACTGAAGTTCAGGCTCTACACTCCTTTTTCCTAAGCCAGCACCCTCACCTTGGCCTTCGTGACTCCAGTGCTGTGACGCTGAGGAGACAAAGCAAGGAACGCCCAGGGGAGGGGAGCCCTGAGCAGCTGGCCGGCACCAGAACGTCAGGCCATCCTTCTCATGAGCTCCTTCCAAAGAGGGCAGCCCTGGCCAGTCTTATGGAATCATGGGGCTCACAAGAGAGGAGAAGACAGGATTCCAAGAAGAGTGACTCCAAGGAGAGCACTTGGTATAAATGGTGGAGTTTTTCACAATTTTGCGCATTGTCTTGAACTCTCACCTCCCCCCAATGTCATGCAATATTTCCATCCTCAACCCTGTGGTACATTTTGTGTTCCTCATCTTGGCTGAGTGGGGCGGGGGGAGGGGTGGAGATGATATGATGACATAACCTTCACATTTTTGCCAATGGACACCCACCTTATGGGCTGCAGCTTGACCAGAAATCACTGCCTCACCTGTTCGCTCAGCAGAGAGGAATGATTCCTGTATTTTCCCCTTTCTTCCTGCCAAGGAAGATGCCATGCCCACCGCTAGTTTGCAACGAGCAGCAATTATTTCCAACATGAGCCAGAATTCTGACCTTGACCCCCTTTGCTAAGCACTAAACAAACACTGTTCTGTCTCAAGCACAGAAACAACAACTTTATACTTTCTCACTCTATGCGGGTTTGTGTGCAGCCACCTGCCCCCTCCCTCTGTAGGAGCACTGGTCCTTATATACACGCCTCCCCTCTGAGCATCGTCCCAAAGCTACAACCTCACGATGCCGTATCCATGCAGAGGCCAGAAAAGCTCAGGGCAGGCAGGCCTGGGAGCTGCCAGCCACATGTCTGTGACCCCCACTTTGCAAGATGCTAATAGAGGGCAGAGTGGAGTTCCATGGGGGGAGCATGGACGTCAGCAGGCTGGGCAGTTGCTGCCCCACCCAAGGCCCACAGGGTGGGGCAGACACTGTCCCTGGTCCTCACAGCATCTGTTTTGCAGCAAGAGCACCAGCACCCAAGATCACAGGGGAGTGGGCATGAGGACTCAGGGGTCCTGCTGCCCAGCCCCAGGCATTGCAGACTCGGGAGGCAAACACGTCTCCCCTCCAGACAGGGGCCGCCTCTGCTGTACCGGGCTTCTGCTCTTCTCAGCGATGACGCTCGCCAGGAGCTGGGACTGGGGCCCCGCCGACTTCACATCCTGTCGGTTTTGTTCGCGAATCTGTGTGGAAAGGGAGGGGGAGAGAAGGTCAGTATGCAGGGTCAGGCTGGGGACTTTGGGAGGGGCACCCCCAGGGCATACTGGTGTCCAGTGTGGGCTGTGACTTGGGTCTGAACAAGTCCTCTAGCGGTGGGGAGCCTGTCTCCCCTATTTCCAACACAGCCTGTCCACTCTGACACGGTCCCCTTGTCTGTTTCAGAGTGCATGCGTGGGTGAGGGACAACCCCCGTCTCACTGACTCGGAGAAGGTACCTGAAGGAGGTGAAGAGTGAAAGGAGCCATCTTCAACCCTGGAGGGAGATGCTCACATTTTGATATTCCTATGAAGCCCCTGAGGGGTTTGTTTAAAATGCAGAATCCTGGGGCCAGCCCACACCTACACAATCTGAATCTCTTGGCGGGGAGGTGACCCAGGAACCTGCATTTTAAACAAGCACTGCTGAGAGGCCTCGCCCACACACTGAAACCCAGATCTGGGAGTGTATCTGACCTACTGGGGGTGGTCAGCCACAACTGCAGTTCTTTTTTTAAAAATATACTTTATTGATTTTTTACAGAGAGGAAGGGAGAGGGATAGAGAGTTAGAAACATCGGTGAGAGAGAAACATCGATTAGCTGCCTCCTGCACACTCCCTACTGGGGATGTGCCTGCAACCAAGGTACATGCCCTTGACCGGAATCGAACCTGGGACCTTTCAGTCCGCAGGCCGACGCTCTATCCACTGAGCCAAACCGGTCAGGGCCATAACTGCAGTTCTTAACGTGACATTAGACATGTAAGTGAACTGTAAAGCAGAGGTGGGGCAGTAAATACCAAGGATTTTAGCCAAAAGGATAATAGCATAAATAGTATAAACTTAATTAAAACTCCATTGGTGGGCAGATCTCTTAGACACATCTAATGCCTGAGGCAAGCACCTCTCCTGGAGGAGGGTCCAACAGGGTCACCTAAGTACAGCACTCGGCACAGTGCCTGGGACAGAGCCACCAAACAGCAGTTTCTTTCCTGTGAGGGGCAGCAGGGGTGTTGGTAAGTCAGGCGCATCCTCACCCCACCCCCACTCCCGAGGGAGAAGGGATGGAGAGACAGCGAGCTAGCACCCTACCTTGTTCCGCATGTCCAGCACTTCTTGGGGGTCGGTATAGAGAGGCACAAATTGGTTTGGGTTTTCGATCCGTATTGGCATGCCACTGCTGGATTTCTCCACCTCGTCGGCCTTCATCCACTGAACACACACAAGGCCAGGTGGGTGAGCAAAGAGTACGGCCCACGTGTCCTCCCCAGTGGTCGGCCCCAGGGGATCGGGGCCCACCGGCCCACACGGATGGTCAGCAAGCCTCTACATACATGTGATCTCCCCTCGGTGACGTCTGTCTCCCAGGGCAGGAGGGCAAAGAAGGCCCCAGGGCAAGAGCCGTCAAGAACACGTAAGAGTAGGGGTCAGCCCCTTGGTAACGAGCGCCGACAGACAGGTGGCCACTGCAGCTACGTATCAGATGGCTCCATGTTAATTTGCAGCGCTTCTTCCTCTTTGTTTAAAGGAAAAGCTATTCTATTTGGCTGCCAGCTACTTTAATGTTAATGAAAAATCAAATTAAGGGTTAGGATGTGTGTGTGGTGGGGAGGACAACGTAATAGAAATGAATATCCCACCCACCTACTGGGTTTGCATCAGACGTGCACTTCAAATGGTGGATGCCCACCCTTGAACTTCCCAGGATTCCCTTCTTGATGTGGGAGCAAGAAGCAAAAATCAATTGCTCCTCGCTTTTGTGCTGCTGGGGGTGACCTGGTCCAGCCATCCTCTGGACCCCAAAACTCAGTGCAGAGGTACAAGAAACAGGGGACCAGAGGCTGTGTGCTCCATATAGTAAACCCTAAGCGGGGCTTGTAGCCCATAAACGTAGCCAGGCACTCTCCCCGCACCCGTCTCCCCCAGCAGGGCCCCCTCTGCCCGCCTTACTGTGGTCTTGGGCCGGGGGCTGCCCATGCTCCTCTGGACCTCGTCAGCCACGTTGACCCGCAGGTAGGTGTTGGGCGTGTTGAGCCAGCGGGTCTTCTCCTTTTGCTGCTTCTGGGCGTGCTGCCGCAGGGCGGGCACCGGGGTGCCGTCCTCCTCGAACACGAAGGCTGTGACTGTGGCCGGAATCTCCACCTCACTTTTGTGTTTGGTTTTCTCTTGAACAAAGGGGTGGCGGTACGTGTAGCCTGTTCTGTAGCCCTAAAAAGGACAAAAAGAGAACCGCTTCACGTGGGGAAATGGTGTGAATGCACCTGCGCGCCCACCCCCTGCCCAGGCACTTCACCCCCTTCTCTCTAATGACCGGGTTTAAACCTAAATCTCCACAGCACAGCCTGGGCCTTCTGCTTCTCTGGTGGGTCTGGGAATTGGTCCTCTCTTGGTGCCCCAACCGCTCCCTTCCTCCACCCCAGCGAGGCCTCTGATCAGGGCTGAGAAAACTGCTGGAACCTTCTGAGTGTGACAGGACTCCTTACCTAAACACAGCTCCAACTCCGCGCTGCTGCAGTGGGTCCCCAGCCTGGCTACACCACGTTGGAACCACGTGGGAGCTTCAAAAATGCGGATGCGGGGCCCACCTCAGCCCTGCCCGCTTCGTTGGATGTGGTACCATCTGGCTACAGGATTTTTAAGTTTCCCAGCGGGTTCTGACCGTCAGCCCTCCCTTCCTCAACGCTGAGGCTCCTTAACTATTTCCCTCTTCGAACCCCGAACTCTGACTACAGGACACTCCTGTCTCCTAAGCAAGACCAGGTCCCACGAAGGCGGTACCGAGTGCCGCTCAGTGAGAACGAACACCCGGGAACCTTGGCGGCTGACGGAGCAATTCTTCGCTTTGCCTGTCTTCCCTAACTCTGTTTTGCTCTTTTTTGGATTACTAGTAAAACCGGATGTTTTAATTTACATTTAATGGCGACTCGAATCCCTTCCTTTGTAAATTGTTTGTGTTCTCGGTTCATTTTTCTACTGAGATGTTTTTCTCTTTCACACTGATTTGTACTAACTCTTTACAGTGCGTTGACTATCATCGGTGTTGCAAATATTCACCCCCGTAGTTTGTCTGGTCGCTCTGCTTATGGTGGGGGGAGTGGTTTAGAAAAATGCAAATTTTGAATTGTAGTGTAATCATAACAGTCAGGACTTGTCATCATGACCTCAGACTTTCCTGCCATGCTTGACAAAGTCTGCCCAGGACAAGAGCCTCAAGAATGGTAATCTGTTTTTTTTAATACCTGTAGGAGTTTTTTACGTTTTAATTTTTGAGAAATCAGGGATTCGTCTTGCTGAAAGAAATGTGGTAGCAATCCACCTAAGTTTTCTTCTCCAAGTGGCTGGCAGTCTAGGTTTTCCCGCTGCTTGATGAGACACCTGTTTGCCTGTTAAACGCTTCTGGATTCTCGAAGCTGCCGCACTGACTTGCCTGGCCGTTCCGCACTACCGCTCCTCCGTTTAGTTACGCTTTACCATGTGGTGGGACGAGTATCCCTAATTTCTTTTTTTATAGGACTTTTCTAGACATTCTGAATTTCACCTGGAAGACCATTATGCTAAATCCTTACACATTCCCTGTTTTGGAAGGAATTACACTGAGTTTATTGGTTAATTTGGAAAAGTGACCTCTTTTCCCTATGGAAGCTTTCTAACCAAAAATAAATTATAGCTCTTCACGGTCCAGGGGCTAAGCCCCAACAGACTGGCCTCGGAGGACCACGGCAGGAGACTCACCAGGTTGTCCAGCATCCTCATGAGGGCCTCGAACTCATGTTCCCCCAGCCGGCTCTTCCGCATGGGCCCGAAGGTGCTCCCCGCCCACTGGACAGAGCCCACCTCATGGGGGCGGTGCTTCTCCTGCTCCAGGAGGATGAGGTTCTCCACTCCCCCCGCGCTGGACAGAGCGGACACCTGAGGCAAAGAGCAGAGGGCCCTCAATCGTGTGTGTGTGCGCACGCACATGTGTATACACACGTACGCGCGCGCACACACACACACACACACACACCCCTCTGCACACTTACCTACGCTCATGTGTGTAACGGAGAGTGGGGATAAGGGAAGATTAGGAACAGGAATGGTCTGGGAAGCTGAGCTGTATTTGGCTTTTTCC